TTTAGTTGTCTTAACAAATAGTCATAATAAATTAGATTATCTAAGGTTTTGAGGGATTAAAAGCATTATAATTTTTTAAATTAATCTATTTTCGATTGAAGAACTGGTTCTTGGTCGTAGAATGCAAGGGTATGCAACTCTTATGTAATGGCTATTAATACATGACCGTTACATAATATACTATTATTAGATATACCCTAAGTACTATGGGGCAACCCAACCTCCCTCAGATTAAAGATACAGAAAATATCCCGAAGTAACAGCTAATTTAAAACACCCTGTATTTGACTCATGTATTATACTTTATTCATAATATCTATCAACATCTTGAGAAATCTGTAAAGTGCACCGATATAAGATTTATTTTTGCAGTCTTTATAACTACAAACAAATCAAGATTTTTTTTGTCTTCTTCCATAACACACTGTCATTAAAGCACAACAAAATCAGAAAATAGTCAACGATAAAAATATTTAAGCAAAATAACAGAAACAACAGAATAATAATAATTATAAATTCACGATTTCGATACCACTGCTCGTGTCGGTCCCTACTGCACTAAAAGTTTCGGTGTAGAATATCGGTGTAGGTGTGCTTGAAGGTCACGAGCCCTCGAAGATCACGTGATCAGAAATATCCCTCTGGTTATTATTTAATCTTGTGGTTTTGTGAAATAGATAACACACTGCATAAATGGCTTAAATCTTAAATGGCATAATGGAGCTGTAAAGTCATTTGGTATAATTTTCTTAAAAAGCGTTCGAGAAAAATTAGAATTATTACACAGCCCCACAAAAAAAAATGTTCAGACTTGCCAGTCGGACATAAGTATTCCCATGTATTTTTCGACGCTGAATTCGATCCCGAGCTCAGAAATGGTCCTTCACGTCTGGAATTGGCCCCAGGGCCCAAAAATGATGTCTATATGGCGTGAAAGGTGGAAGAGTCAGGACTGGCCCAAATCGAGTTCCTGTGGGTTTTCGATGTCGCTGATCACGATTATGATGTTCACATTGAACCACAGATGACCTGGGGCTCAGGAACGCCAAAGAACGTTATCTACGGGGACTATCCCAAAATTAATGCGGGTAAGTAGAGAAACTCGGCGCTTGTGGATATTTTAAGTTGCTGAATTCAAATATCACATCGGCGAACACCCTCTGGACACCTGGTGCGCTGGAACCGGCACGTGGACGTCATCTTCGAGAAGTTTCTTGCAAAGATTGCCAAAAACAAGCCAAAAAACCTTTTAGGGGTATATTTTGGGGCCCTTGGTTTAAATTTCACGTCAAAAACGATCCCCGAACACCAAAGCACCAAAGCGTCGTCTCCGACCGTTCTCCAGACACAATCGCTAAAGACAAACCGAAAATCGTCATGGAAGTTTCTAGGCACGCGGAATCCAAATTTAATCACGAAAACGTATCTCCAGAGATCTGGTGCACCGGAACTCTGGTCTGAACGTCATCTGGGAGGGTTTTCCTCACATAATCGAAACTACTGTGTCTTATAACAGATTCCCGTATACCTCGGCATGAGGAAGTAAAGTCGGAGACTCTATTCTGTATCGTTTAAACTACTCTTTATAAATAATAATTAGACGTGTTTCTTAGAAACACCAGCACTGAAGTAAACAGGACATCATAAGAAGCGTATTTTGTTTCTCTGTTTTGCTTGACGTGTAAGAGCAAGATAATACTATAATCACAGCTTATACAATACAGCTAAAACACTCTCTTGGCGGCAACGGTTTGCGTCGATTTCGTCGCGCATCGCTTAAGCTCCGCCTTCGGAGGGAAAATACGGTTTTGGCGTTCAGGAGCGTACTTAGGTAAGGTGTTGAGTCGTGCGTATAATTTCGTTGATTGTATAATTTCGTGGAGCCTATAATTTCGTTGATTTTGTTTGAGTTAAAGGTACTGTTATTATTTTGGTGACTCTTTAGCTGTGAGTAGAATGCGTGCAAAAAAAAGAAATCATTCTGTTTGTGCAGTCAAAAGCTGTTTTAATAAGGGTTATACCTGCAAGAAAACATTCTTTAGTTTTCCCAAGGACCCAAACCAATAAGTACCACATTATAAGAAATTTTCATTGTTAAAAATATAATTTATACAGGATGTCCCATTAGTGCGTTATTGTTCATTATTTTGTTATAGACACGCAAAAAAGTTTTAAATAAAAGTTATATGGATTTGAAAAATACCTACATATTTTAAAAAGTTCTTTGGATATACAGGGTGTCACGTTTTTGTCTGGCAAATTAAAATGTATGTTTTTTAAATGGAACACATTGTATTTTATTTTATGATGAAATTATTAACACCCTAAATTATTGTAAAGACGAGTTGCTACAGTTGCTACAGTTGCTTATCAGGTATGTGTGTGGTTACCTTTTAATAAAAGCCTTGAGGATCCACTACTGTGATACCTGTCTTATATATAACAAAGAACACGTTGAATTAGATGATTTTTCTTTTTATTGATTTTTAAAGGCATTTGATAACGCCAATTCAGAGATACATTTGGAAATCTGCAACTGTCAAATGATGAATTTGTAGAATTAATATTCAATATTGAAAAGATATTTCAAAATAATTTTGAAGAATTGGCTATAAAAAATAACATTTGTACCACACTTTTAGAATTAATTAACCCAATACCCTTTAGTCATCCATGCTAACGTTTTTATTAATTATTTTTTCATGTTTATTTTATTTTATAAATTGGCCAACTTCGTAAATTATTTTAAAATTAGTTATTAAATCATTTTTTAAATTTGTAGATTTTCGTTAGTGGGTCGTAGAAAAAATATACTGACCATATCGAGTGGATTGTTCATATCACAATCAGACGATTGAGTACTCCGCCTACGACGTCGTGCTCAAACTTCGTCTTTGTGTGATATGGCAATCATATCCACCCTTGTTGAACAAACTACTATTTATTTGTTTTCTTGGTTTAAGTTTTACATCAGAAATAGGAACTAAATTAATTTACTTTTCAAGTTTTCTTGTAAAAATCGATATTACTTTCTCCAAGTACAAATTTAGTACCTACCTAAAATAAGTAATAATTATGTAATTTCGTGTAATATTGTAATTCAAATTTCACATTACTAAAAAGGTTCAAAATTCCCTACTTCGGTATGGTCAGATAAAAATTGAATATATTATATTAATAAAAACTGTCAAAGTATTACTTCTACAAATCTGTATTTCAATTAATAAGAATACATCTAAATATAACCAATATTGTTAAAATAAAAGCACAAATTCTTTATAATTCCAAAATACCATAGAGTTCCCAGACCTCAGTCGAAGCATTCGTTTATTTAGGTATAAACCCTTTGCGCGAAGAGTAACACTTGCCAGACACACGGGGTACTACTTGATTTGCATCCACGAGCGTGACAAAATTATTTAACAATTGAAGCCCTTGGTGTAAAAAGGATCCAAGCCACAAATTGTCGTGAAGTGACTGTTTTAGCTCAAAACATTTGTTAACGAGGATTTTACTAGCCACATACAAATTATTCAACCTCTAATTCGAAAGATGTGCTATTTTTCGTAATATTTATATTTAAATAATTTTTTAATTATATTTGACAAATTTAAAACAAATTAAAAATTTAATTTCCCAAAACTTACTTAATATGGGATGTAACCAACCTTATTACGCCAAGGTTTTCAATTTTTTCAATAATAAAAAAATATTTTAATCCGGGCCCGACTTTTCCCTCGAATCTAACAGAGATAGCACCATTCCGTCTTGCTTGGTTCTCGACCGCCAGATCAAAGACGCCGACACGGAGTTGTGGAGCTGTATTGTATAAGCTGTGCTATAATCACAGACAGAAGAAAATCATTCAATGTAAGTTAGCACTATTGGTAGGCAAAACATTGATTGGAAAGTTGTAGTGTTCAAAAGTGTTAAGCCGCTTAGATCTATTTAATATTAAGATAATAGACGAAATATATATTAGTAGTCAAACGATTTTTTTTCGGCTTGGCCTCATTGACTGCTATGGTGAATGTTGACTAGATCTATTGACAAAATGTAAAAATACGTTAAACTATACATATTATGACTTAAATACATTAATCATGGCATTCGTAATGATTTTTTTTGAGAGCTTCTATGCACTTAACTCATTTTCACCAAATTTGTTGCTTGATTCCCTTGACCTCTACGGTGACGCTATGTCTTTTTTAATCGTTCTAGTTTTCCGAAAATTCACGAACCGACACTGATTTTGAATTCCAATTGTAATAACATTACCTGTACCAGGAAGTTTTATTATGCAGGTGCTGCTTCTGATAGCATTATTAGGTCATTAATTCTGTTATTATAATTATTTAAATCTGTTTTTGCTTATCTAGACTTCAAACATATATAGTTCATACGAAATGTGTTTAAGGCATTCATATAAATGCGGTATTTATTGATTTTTATTTGAATTTATAAGTTTCATTACTTTAATAATCGTTTTCCAAATTTTCAAATTTTTACTGGTTAACATTTAGGTATCAATATAAAAAAAAAGGGCTTAGATAAGAATGAATGGATTAGTAGGTAGATACTCTAAAAGAAAAATCGTAGTACCTATCAAGTATCAGTAATAATTTACGTTGTTATTCAGTGACAAAAAAACGCTTAAAAAATTGGTTTGAGACGAAGGGAGAACCTATTTTAAATTCTTTAGAATAAAATTATCAACATTTATTAAATTTTTATAAAGTAATTTAGAAAGAATTTTTATTTATTCAAAACTCTTAACCAGAGCTGAACACTTAATTTTCCTAATACCCACTATGACTCATTTATACCATTAGCTTTATGAATAAACTACTAATGTTTACCTTATTACAATGAGTTCACTCACCTAGAAATTTAGTTACTAACGTGGGTGTACACATATCTAATCTATCGATTTTTAGTACTCGTGTTATTTGATTATTTTATATTCCCTCAAATAAATGGATTATATTTGTCCATAGTTCATGGTCTTGTTTTTTCAGATTATTCTTGAAAAAACTTTGTTTAATGAATATATAATTGGATTACAAAAAATATTTTTGTTGCAGGATACCTTGTGGAACAAATCTGAAGCTTTGGAAAATTTAGTAAAAATGCTAAAACAACAAAATACTTGTGAAAATTTGGAACCTGGACCAGCGGCTTTACTTTTCGAAGCGCTCTTTACATGTCAACATCAGGATAAAATGCATTTTCTGGCCGTTGTAAGTTGAATTTAATTTTTTAACTTCCAATGTTATTTACTAACAAAATATCTAACATTTTCTAAAACTTTTTTGAAAAAAATTAAGTTTAAAGTATTTTCTATTACAATAAATAGATCATCTCGTTTACAACTGCTTAAAGGATTAATTTAAATGAATTTAAAAATTTAAGTTTTTGCCGTCCGTTATTTTTTAATCAAAAATTTTATTGCCTTTAATGTTATTTTATTCGATTTATCTTTAATTATAACTATAAAATATAATAAGATGGAAGGATCTAGGAGCTTAGGTTCAGTCAACCATTAAAAAAGAAAGTTCGTTCTAGAGTGATCTTTATTCGTTCTGTCCTTTGACATATGACTTGACTTGATACATGACTTACAAGTTAATAACACCTGTCACCTCTTTTTTTTTAATAAATATTATATTTTTATTTTTTATATTCATAATTAACATTACAATTATTTACAATTATACAATATAAACATCAAACATTTTTTACAAATTTAGTTTGTTTGGTTTCTTTATTTTTCTACCACATCTTGAACATTCAATAAGTGTCAGAAATCTTTCTTGTGATTTTGAAATGTAGAAACTTTTATTACTTTTGAGTTTAGAATTTGGTCTCCATCACTTTCTTGTTCACTTTCTTTACTTTCTATATGTTCCTTAACATTTTTATCTCTTATTACAATTTCGCTTGTTTTTTCTATGTTCTTACTATTTTCATGATTTACATTTCTTTTCTCTGTAGCATATTTTATATTTATAACATTTTCTGTATTGTCTATAACATTTTCTATATTATCTATAACATTTTATACATCTATATCGTCATCATAATATTACTTATTAGGTACATTTTCATTAATTTGATTTTTTAGCAATCTTTAATGCTTTCTATTTTTAATTACAATGTTTCCATTTTTGTTTAACTTTATTACATAAGATCTTGGTCTATTAACTCTTGTTTTTATTACTACAGCTTATTCTCATAAATTATATCTAAAATTTAATACATTTATATGATCTTATTTTTGAAGATCCGGAGTTCTCTTGTTTTCTTGTTATCTTGTTATCTTGTTATCTTGATATCTTGATATCTTGATATCTTGTTATTTTGTTATCTTGTTATCTTGTTATCTTGTTATCTTGTTATCTTGTTATCTTGTTATCTTGTTATCTTGTTATCTTGTTATCTTGTTATCTTGTTATCTTGTTATCTTGTTATCTTGTTATCTTGTTATCTTGTTATCTTGTTATCTTGTTATCTTGTTATCTTGTTATCTTGTTATCTTGTTATCTTGTTATCTTGTTATCTTGTTATCTTGTTATCTTGTTATCTTGTTATCTTGTTATCTTGTTATCTTGTTATCTTGTTATCTTGTTATCTTGTTATCTTGTTATCTTGTTATCTTGTTATCTTGTTATCTTGTTATCTTGTTATCTTGTTATCTTGTTATCTTGTTATCTTGTTATCTTGTTATCTTGTTATCTTGTTATCTTGTTATCTTGTTATCTTGTTATCTTGTTATCTTGTTATCTTGTTATCTTGTTATCTTGTTATCTTGTTATCTTGTTATCTTGTTATCTTGTTATCTTGTTATCTTGTTATCTTGTTATCTTGTTATCTTGTTATCTTGTTATCTTGTTATCTTGTTATCTTGTTATCTTGTTATCTTGTTATCTTGTTATCTTGTTATCTTGTTATCTTGTTATCTTGTTATCTTGTTATCTTGTTATCTTGTTATCTTGTTATCTTGTTATCTTGTTATCTTGTTATCTTGTTATCTTGTTATCTTGTTATCTTGTTATCTTGTTATCTTGTTATCTTGTTATCTTGTTATCTTGTTATCTTGTTATCTTGTTATCTTGTTATCTTGTTATCTTGTTATCTTGTTATCTTGTTATCTTGTTATCTTGTTATCTTGTTATCTTGTTATCTTGTTATCTTGTTATCTTGTTATCTTGTTATCTTGTTATCTTGTTATCTTGTTATCTTGTTATCTTGTTATCTTGTTATCTTGTTATCTTGTTATCTTGTTATCTTGTTATCTTGTTATCTTGTTATCTTGTTATCTTGTTATCTTGTTATCTTGTTATCTTGTTATCTTGTTATCTTGTTATCTTGTTATCTTGTTATCTTGTTATCTTGTTATCTTGTTATCTTGTTATCTTGTTATATTGTTATCTTGTTATCTTGTTATCTTGTTATCTTGTTATCTTGTTATCTTGTTATCTTGTTATCTTGTTATCTTGTTATCTTGTTATCTTGTTATCTTGTTATCTTGTTATCTTGTTATCTTGTTATCTTGTTATCTTGTTATCTTGTTATCTTGTTATCTTGTTATCTTGTTATCTTGTTATCTTGTTATCTTGTTATCTTGTTATCTTGTTATCTTGTTATCATGTTATCTTGTTCTCTTGTTCTCTTGTTCTCTTGTAATTATCAATGTCGTTTGTCATCCCTGGTCAGAACTAAGCTTGTTTTGCTTTTAACTTACATTTTTCTTTGTCCAAATGAGATAAGTGAATAATTGTTAACATTTCTTTTCTTAAGCTCTTTAATTACTTTTTAAATAGGCATTTTTTTCTCAGGAAACCCATTTCTTATTACTTCTACTAATTTTTTAAGTTGTTCATCATTTGCAGTTGCATTTTGAAATTCTTTTCATTTACTATCAGCTATAGGCAACGTTTCTATAATCATACACAGTTGTGCTTCTATTGCTTTATCAATACAACGAGAACTTTTGTCATCTTCTACAGTTAGACGTGCTAGAGACAAGGTATCAGCAATTTTTAACTCTGTGCCGTTTATATAAACTAAATTGAAACTATATTTTTGCAAACTCATTAACATTTTTTGTAATCTTGTGGTAATAGTTTTTTATTAACATATATATCAAAGGTTTATGGTCAGTTTCTATAGTTTTATCTTATCTGTCATAAATGTATTGATGGAACTTTTCGCAAGCTGCTACAATAACAAACATCTCTTTTTCTATTTGTGCCCAGCCTTTTTGCGTAGATGTAAATGCTTTTGACATGCTACAGGTAAGTTGTTTTGCATAAGGGCTGGGGCACACCCAGTTTGACTTGCATCTGCACTAATTAAACTCTGTTGGCATAGAAAACCTTTCCAAGAAACCAATTTCTCAGAATTTTTAAAATTCATTGTAAGCGTGCCACGAACAAATCAAAAGTTTAAAAATTCTACGAGTTATATCAATTTTGTCAGTCATAAATATTTTTTCTTCCGCTAAGAAATTTAAATTAATACCCTATTTGAATATTTTGACCAAACTGTTTCTCATGTTATATTTTTGAAATGAAAACGCATTGTAAAAAATTTATTTATATATAAATAAATTACTTTAGGAGGCTCTAGCTCTAATGGTTAGATGTGTACGACCAGAAGTCTTAGACCAATGTCTTGGTAGATTGAGCCTGGGGATCTGCAAAATAGGAGCGCCATCAGGAGTTAGTTTGGCTCTTTTGATAATGAAAAAGAGTCCGCCAAAGAGATTATTAAGTGAAGTAATGGAGAGATGCTTTGGACACAAAACCAGAGAAGGTAAATGATTTGTTTCAATACAAAAATTACTAGTTAATATTTTTAAAAACTAAATAAATCTATAAAACTACTAAAAACACCCTGTTTGGATCACAGATATATGTATTTTTGTATAGAAAATAAAATTTCTTCGCATATGTGAACAAATGCTAGTTATCATATAGTAACGCATAGATAAGTAGTTTCGTCGAGAGTAATAGGTGGCGCTGCGATCTTAAATTCGGATATCTATTGTAAAAATATTTATTACACAATGAAAATAAATCCTGTTTAAATGGATTTAGGTACTTTAATAAAAAAAAAAAAAATAAAAAATTGAACATTCCAATTGCTTTACATATAATTCTTAATGATTATAAGAAATAAGTCAAGATATTCATAAGTATTATATTACAATAAAAAATGTCAGTCTTTATTGATAGGTAAGGTATTTATCCATTTTGACCACACAAGCTCATTATCATACCTGAAAGAAACAAATTGTGAATAGCAATTGAACAACAGTACAAAATTTTCAGAAAAATTAATAAAAATTAAGAAAGGTTCCAAAAAACAACTTAGCTGTGATGTTAAAAATTGAATTAAATTAATACGTGCAACCATTTAAGGGGCACTTTTAGGAAGAAGAAAGCTAGAAAAGGACCAGTGCTAAAAAAGATATAGATTAGATATTATCAGATAAAAAAGGATAAATAACCTGACCAGGCTCTATAAGTATTTGGCGTTACTATAGTCTATTTTTATGTATGAGAGAGTAATAAAACAGCATTTCTAATGCAAAACTTAGTACGGTCATTTTAAATATTTTTACAGAATAATATAAATATTTCCTAAAATTGTAATAAATGTACCTGAGCTATTACAAGTTTTGGGTCTTTTATTGGTCCTTTATAAACATAAGCTGTACAGAACAATAGAAAAAGGTTTGGACAGGCCAAAAGCCCTGTGTATTAAAGATTACATAGCCGTATCTTAAGATTATTTTCAATAAGTACCTATTTGCCAATTTTGTTTTATTTTAATTCCAAGAATTTCTTACAATAATCGAATTATAAGTAGATAAATACCTTCCCAACAAATTTCACCGAAAATGCGATTATAGGTTTTCCATTTAGTAAGGATGTCCAAGTTGTGTATTCTTGACAGTTTACTAAATGTCGTTTAGTTGCAACTTGCAAGGTGCAGTGTGAATTCTAGTGTGATCATAGAAAATTTGTAAGGGCCGCGTAAACGACAAAAAATCGGTCCTTTAACAGTTAATGAAAAAACATTAATATTTAATTGTTTTAAATCATTTACAGACAAACATTTATGTAAAAGTGTTGATGACACAGTGGAATTAGTTAGTAGTACGCTTGGTGTTGGGAAATCTACGATTTACAGAGTTGTTAAAGAAGAGAAATGTGGCGAGTTTCAAACAGCACGTAAAGCTCCAGGAAAACCAAAATTTCAATTAGAAAATCTTTTGAAAGAAAGACTTCGAAGGAAAGTGCATGCGTTCTTCTTTAGAAAAGAATTTCCGACAGTAGACCAAGTTCTTGCCACGGTTCGAGATGATAAGGATTACCCTGAAATGAGTCGAAGCACACTATGGAAACTTTTTAAAAGAAATAGGTTTTCTACGGAAAAAGCATCCCAGAAAGTCCATTTTAATAGAAAGAAGCGATATTGTAGTATGGAGAAGAAATTACCTAAGGACTATAAAAGAAATGAGAAACCAAAGAAGAAATATATTTTTTTTAGATGAAACATGGATCAACGAGGGACATAAACCAAATAAATTTTGGCAAGATGAAACTGTTACAAGTCGAAGATTTATCTTTAAATAATTTATCTACTGGTTTAAATCCACCATCAGGAAAGGGGCGCAGACTAATAATAGTACACATTGGTAGTTCAAACGGTTTTGTTAAAGGTGGTTTATTGACTTTTGAATCTACTCGTACCGGTGACTACCATGAGGACATGAATGCTGATATCTTTAAAGAGTGGTTCGAACAAATTAATGGATAATGCAAGTTATCACTCGAGACTTATAAAAAAAATGCCCACAACCAAGTGGTTAAAAAAAGATTTACAGAATTGGCTAAATTCAAAGAATATTAAGTTCCATCCCGGTTCTGTGAGAAAAAAACTGTATCATTTGTGTTCCCTTCATAAAGAGAAATTTAAAAAATATGAAATTGATGAAATTGCAAAAAATCGTGGGATGACGGTGGTTAGATCACCACCATATCATTGCGAAGTAAACCCGATTGAACAGATATGGGCACAGACAAAGGGAGAAGTTTCAAGAAAAAATAATTCTTTTAAAATGAGTGATGTTAAACAGTTGTTTTTGGAGGCTGTAAATAATGTGAAGCCTGAAAACTGGGAAAAGGCAGTAAATCATACGATTAAAGAAGAAGAGAAAATGTGGAAGTTGGACAATATTACTGATGAAATGATCGAGCCACTTATTGTAAATATTGGTTGCGACAGTTCATCTTCTGATTTGGATTTGTAGGTAAGAAGTAGTTTTTATATTAAAATTATTATTTGTGAACGTAACGTTGTTTAAAAGTCAAAGTTTAAACCTTTATACCTACACAACCCGTTTGACATAATGTTCTTAACATACCTTGTGGAAAAATAAAACATTTTAGAAAAAATTGCACTTTTTTACCTTCAGCTGTTTAGAAGTTATAAGCAGGTTAATTAGGTGAAAATATAAGTGTACACTCGAGGAATAACTTCAAAAAATATTTTAACTGTCTACTAAAAGAAGCCTATGGATTACGAACGCTTTATTATTTTAATACTCTCTCATATATTAAAATAGACTATAGTGTAATAATTTTAGCAGTGGACCAAATGAGGTTATGAGTTACAAGTTTTTTCTGATGCAGAAAAAAAAGTACTCTCAGCTATGAAGAGGAATAGTGAAACAAACAAAAAATGAGGATATATGTGGACATTCAAACAACCATGAGTGACAGATACGTTATAGAGGTTGTAAAAAGTAAAAACGTAGCAAACCTAGTAGAGAGTGTTGATTCTGACACGATGATCAACTGGTATGGGCAGAGGAATCACTAAAAAAATTGTGAACACTCCCTAAATAATTTTTAGAACAACAAAAACATTTGAAAGGAACGTAAATGGCATAATAAAGGTCATTATTTATCAAATATTAAATATCAAGAGGGACAAATCGAGCAATAAAAGGTTATAGTTCCTTATATGTCCCACATTGTCCTAATACAAAATAGTTCCTAATCTTACTGCAATAAATGGCACATTGTGTTCTTTGCTTGCTTGCAAACAAAAACACGACATGCCACTTTTTGTGTGTAAAGTAACAACGAAGCAGAGTGATTTTAAATAATGATTTAACAAGAATTTTAGCAATAATAGTTAAGGTTAATGTAATATTTTATAGGAGCTTTGCAACTTCTGATGGCTTCAGCAAGACTTCTACCTAGAAACGATCTGGAAATTCAAAAGATGACAGAGTTTGCAGCTGCTACTTTGAGGGATCGTAGACGCAGAGTTCGGCACGCCGCTCTTGAAACATTGGCAACGTTGGCACAACTTACATCTAATGCAGAAGTATTGGATACAGTCGAAAGAGTGACCAAATCTTTACCTGATCACCAATATGTGCTTCGCGTAATGAGAACAAGGTAAATTATAGGAAATACCCTTAATTGCTGGATTTAATATTTTAAACAAATTATTCAAACATACGAGTAGTACATACAGGGTTATGATAAAGTATGTATCCAACCAAATATCTCTAAAACTAAAACGATGATATTTATTTATGTATGAAATTTTGCATATTACTGCAATAAGGCATAATAAATTTGTCGCGACTATTTTTTTGTAACTGTATTTCCAATTTAAAATAACTAAATTAAAATGTTTAATTATTTATTAAGATAAGCATAACACTTCTGATCGTGACCATTAAAAATTATTAGATACTTGATTAAGTTACCGACATTTTTTTTTTAAATGGACAAAAAAAGAAAAATTTTACAACCTGGTGTTAAAAGGTATCTGATTCCTTGTTTCAGACTTATCAGTGTTTCAGTGAAAAAATGTCTAGGTTCGAAGAGTTGTAAAATGAATTTTATCGGACCTTAAAATATATAAATAGACAAAAGAAAGTAACCTGTCTATTTGAGCATTATTTAAAAATGCAATAATATACAGAGTGGTCCATTTAAAAAATATGACTATATGTAAGTACGCTGTATAATAAAAAAATAAAGAAAACCAGTAAAACGTTCACATAAAACTTATAGTTTTCTATTAAAGGAATAGAACAAAACAAGACAGCTTCGAGAAAATGAGAGAAGCTAAAAATAGTAATTCGTAAAAAAAACAAATGTGTAACAAAATAAACCTTTTACCTATTTAATATTCCATACGAAGCTACGATTTAAATATCCTATAATATCTCTGTGAAGCTGCCCCCCCAATTGGAAAATTTTAGTTTTAGAAGCGACATACGTTTGATTAGCTATTGACTATGTTTGACCACCTATTGACCATGTTTGACCACCCATTAACTTTTTTTGACCACCCTCAGAAACCCAAATATTGGCCCAGACGACAGTGTCTTGTCATCGGTGCAGTGAAAATGCGTAGATATTTCCTACTCTATTCTCGGACCTGAGCAGAGGCGTTTATAGAAAGGTTGGTTATAAACGACTTCGAATGGTTAGCATTTGGGTATTTCTGCAGTTTGTGAGTTATGCACCATCCGTCCATTTTGAAATAATTCCTTTGGCTGTGCTCTTTGCAATGCCCAGGAATGTTTCTGGTCCTATGAATACAGATTCGGTTCCTCTTTTAGCAAGCGCGTCGGCTTTTACGTTTCCCTCGACACCAATATGTCCCGGAACCCAGATCAAAGTAACTTTGTTCCGAGCAGCGAGACATTCAAGGGTATTTATACAGTTCCAAACTAGCTTTAAGTCAACTCGATTGGAGACCTGGGCTTTAACGGCTGCCTGGCTATCTAAAAAGATCTTTATTTACAACCATATATGTAATGTTGTCATTACTAACGTTATTAAAGGTTGGGAAGTGTCACATTACACACCTCTACTTCCCGCCCTCACTTCCCGCCCTCACTTCTTGCCCTAATTCGGAGAAAATTAATCAACTCTCTCGCTTCCAATTCTATAGCAGTCATTTCTGCTTGGAAGATCGTGGCCAGAGAGGCTAGGTTTATTGATATGTCAACTCTAATCCTCTGGCAGAAAACTCTTGCTCTTACTCCTTTTTCAGTTTTGAAGCCGTCCATGTACAACGCATAGTCTGCCTGGGAGAGGTTTTTCCCCATTTGCTCCATGCGTCTCTCTTGTCCCATCGCAGTTCTTTACAGCATTGACCATCCACCTTCAGGAGTCCGTAAGGGGTCATCCTGGACTTTCTTTCCAGCAAAATGTGGAGAGGGGTTATGTCCAGCATGGTCTCCATGTCTCGCATAGGTGTGGTTGACATTGCTCCAGTTATGGCTAGGCATGCAAGCCGCTGTATTCCAGCCAGCGACAGAGCCGTACGTAACCATGGGTTTTTCTACTGTTTAGGAAATCCAGTATATAAGTTAAGGACTGATCCTCCATCCTTTGCCGCATATCGTTCTAAGGGTCCAGAGGGATAATCTGGCTCTGTTTATGATTTAGTTTCTTATCCAGATATTTTACCTTCTCCACAAAAGGAATGGTTTCCCTAGTCAAGGCAGGTTATCGAACCTTGTCGAGCTTTTTTCTCTTGGTAAAGGGGACAATAACAGTTTTGCGGGGGTAAACAGACATCTGCTTCCTCTTGCACCATCTGTTGATCGTATTAAGGGCTTGTTGAATGATGTTGGAGATCACCTCTTTGAACTTTTCCCTAATTATGATAACTAGATCGTTCTCATAGCATTGGAAATTAACCCCTGCCGGGAGAGATCGTCTAGCAGGTTATTTACCAGAATGGTCCACAGTAGGGGTGCAAGTACGCCGCGTTGTGGAGATCCTCTGGTAGGCCTAGTAGTGACAGTCTCTCCCTGCAGTGATGAAGTGATGTTCTGGTTTTCCAGAATGCTTTTGATCCAACTTCAAGTTAATTTGTCGATTCTTATTCTTTTAATAGAAGCGAACAAAGACTAAGGAAGGGCGTTGTTGAATGCGCCTTCTATATCTAGGAAGGCAAGTAGCGCAATCTTCCCGTGATTTTATAAATGGCCGATTTTGCCTACTGGATTGTGCAGGGCATAATCTGTCGATTTGCCTGCCTGGTAGGCATATTGGGAGGAGTTTAGCGGGCTTGCCCGAAGGCCTCCTTCTCTAATATGCCTATCTACAGTGTTTTTAGAAGAAAGGATGTTAGGCAGATTGGACGATAAGAGTTTGGTAGGGAGGCTTCTACTCTACCAGCCTTGTGTATAAACACGACTTTCGCTATTGTCCATCCTAGCGGGATATAGCTTTGCGTCAGGCTTGTTATAAACATCTTTACAAGGAGGCCATCCTCTTCGGGTAATTTGAAGGGCGAGAATAAATTATTCGCCCATTTTACGGCATTTGGAGAGACAATTTGTACAACAAAGTTCCAGTCTTCCTTTTTGGGTAGTATAATTGATTCCCTCAGAGAAAGGGGTACATAATTACCTATGTAATATTGTTGCTAGTTCCGACGATAATCATATCTGCTGCATAACTTAGCTGCTGGCACTTGAATGATTTAATTAAAATTAACATATCGTCCCCTTAGTGCAACAACTAGATTACTCGAAATTTATGCATTTTGAGTTATCCAGTTAAATCGGTCCTATTTTTCATGCTCTTTTCAATGCAACAACTGGATATCATGTACAAGCAACCAAACTTATTTTAAGAGTGACTAAAAACAGATAATTCCCAATATATACATTTTATAACTAGACATCTTAAGATATCTAGTTGTAGCACTAGCATTATTGAGTTACTCGCCGGCACCTTCTTAATCGCTATAAGATGTCTAGTTGTGTGCTTGAAACAACAGGTTTGTTTCTGTGCTGCTAAATTGTTTTTACGGTGTTTTTTTAAACACTTAATGCAAAAATGACGTCAAAAGGAAAAAATATTTAAGAAATTCTACGTAGCCAATTAGAAAATGATGCAGGTATGTCAAAATCTATTTAAATACACTTAAAGAAAGTATTTAGCGTCCGATCTTAATATTACTATAATGTATACAATGTATAAAGAGGATTGTACAGAAAAAAATTTACCTTTCGTAAGTTCGTCAATGTACAGAAAGATATTTTGTGAAAAATATAACTTGGGTTTTTACCGTCCGAGAAAGGACCACTGCCGTACATGTATGAGTTACAATATACCCAGTAGCATGAAAACAGAAATTATAGAAGCTTATTATCAAGCACACCTTGTTGCAAAAGATAGGGACCGGGAGGATAAAAGGTCCGACAATAAATTAGCTGAAACCTCCATCAAAAATATTTTATGTTGCAATTTTGATCTCCAACAAGTTCTCATGGTTCCTACTGACCCGTCAAACAATGCCTTTTATAAACAGTGTTTGAAATCGTTCAACTTTACTATTTACAATGTTGCTTCTAAACAGGTGAACTGCTACATGTGAAGTAAAGTTAGAGGTAAACGTGGGAGTTGTGAAATTGCTAGTTGCCTTTATAGTTATTTCAAATCAATACCTGAAAATATTGAACACATTATTTGCTACAGTGAAAGATGTGGAGGACAAAATCTCAACAAATATGTGGCAGCTATGTGTTTAACTGCGAGTCAGGAAAGTCCACACTTGCAAACCATAGAACTAAAATTTCTTTTCGTTGGTCAAAGTCAGATGGAATGCGATTTAATGCATTCTGCTAAATCTACAAAACTAAAAAGAGTTGGGGAAAAGTAAACTGGCCTGAAGATTGGAAAACTATAGCTCGCTCTGCAAGAAGAAGAGGTGATAAACCCTATTTGGTTCACAATGTAGGACATAATCAAATTCTTGACTGGAAAACTTATGCAGACCGAAAATTGATATTAAGAAAAGAAGATGAAAGCTTGGTTAGTTGGCAGAAAATATTGTTAAGAGTGAGATTATAGGCCTTTTTGACTGACCCACTCTTAGCGGTAACCACGAGTTGTATAGAGGGGCCCAATTTGTATTTAAATTGGCCCCTAGACAACACACGGCTAGGGGGTTAGGTTCAGATGGGACCTTAACTTTTCCTAAATCAAAGAAAATTGAAACAAGCGTAAAACAAATAACTGTGGTTTATTTAAACAAACAAAAAAACAATTTATATTGCTTTCGCAATCACTTAGCCTCTGCGGACTACACAATAATTAGATATAATTCCTTAAAACTATTTACTTACATGAACATATTTTAATCCTTTATGATGCAGGGCTGGCTAAGGCACAGGTTACTTTTCCCACTGTGTGGCTTTACAAAAAAAACTAATCGCAATTTCGCGTGACCGGCCCGTGATTCTAACTTCAGACACAAAAAAAAAGAAATCTCCTTTATTTAAAATTAACTAGACCGATTGTCAACGTAGGCGAAAAGGAACTCCCCGAATATCAACCTGTAATCCTTCAAGAATCCTCTGTTGATCTTTTTGACCATGTAGTTTAATATTATGATTTAATAAAACCTTGTCCAACTGCACGTTTTATTATTTTATTGAATCTTTGTTTCGCGCGCCTGGCCTTGGACAAAACTTTACAAATCATAACATACTTATTTACAGGGTGTTATATTTATTCGTAACAATATGTTGGTTGAACTTTTCAAAATCGACGCCATTTATTATTAATTTTATAAAAGATGTTGATGAGGAGTTTAGACGACTAAATTGTAAACGTAAAACACGTATGTAGTCTTCAAATAATACCCAAGAGCCTTTGTATCAAAGTCAACTCCCTCTTTAAAAAAAAAATATGACTACCTTATGTCTTTGTTCAAAATGAATCCTCCGGTCCTCCCTAGCGAGAATAAAGCATTTTTGAAAGTCTACCATTCCAAGGAGACCAACGTAAACGGCCTTAGAACATAGCTTCCCAAACCGACATCATTGATATTGACATTTAAGTTGTATCAAGGGTGGAATCTTTTGGGTTTTATTTAAACTAATCTTGTTAATTTTTTATTCTAAATAAAGTTTGTATTTAGTAGGTGATTTGCGTTTAATTGTTAGTGGTTAAAAATAAATAACTTTACTCTTTTTTCAGTAACAACTAGATACCTTAAGTTTTTGATTAAATTCTGCAAATATATAAAACCTAATTGTTTCCAAAATTAACAAATGATAATTTGATATGCAACATATTAAATATTTTTGATTATTTAACAGGTGTATTTTTTTGCGTTTTGAATCTTTAAAGTGGATTTTCTCAAAACTATCAATTTCAAGTTATCTAGTTGTTGCACTAAGGGGACGATATTAAGTTTCATATCATTTCTAATTTAAATCATTTAAAAATAAATTTGGATGCTCAATTTACTCAGAGCCATTCGCAAAATTTTACAATCATAATAAAGTAGTCGGATAGTGGCTTTGCCTTTTAAAGTAGTAACGCCTTATATTTGTATGTTTCTTTGAGAAGAAAGATGAATCTTTCATCTGATCCCGGAAAGCTCACGTTGGTGGTTTCAATAGGTCCCTCCAAATCGTGAAAACTTTTCGAAGCGGTAACGTGGAAAATACGATCTTCCACAGCTAAGGCGATCACATCATAACATGCAGTTTTAATGTTTACGGTCTGTGAAAGAGGTTGATATATTGGGATTATTGAACTTTCTACATTTTAAATTTAGGGGACAGGGTTGGCTTTCAGATTTTAGCTGAATATGTTGGATGTATTTCTAACAAGCTCCATATTTTATATAATAAAACTTTGTGTTTATTCTGCACAAGCAACTGGAAAAACCATAAAAATATATTTTAGATTGATAGATGTATAAAACAATAAATCGATTTGTATAATAATAAAATATAGCTATTTCTAAATCTTCTAGTTTAGCTATATTTTTAACGTAAATAATTGCGCCACGGTATAATGACCCATATTTTCTAACTAAATCTCGCTATTGTTACAACTCTAACTTTTATCATTTACTTGGTTAAAGAAAATAAAATATAAATAAAACTGTTACGCTATTACAAATTTTCCGCACGTACCTACGACACGCAGGCTTTGACCACGTCAAAACTTTTATAAGTTTATACCCTTAACTCTATCGTGTTGAGGGGTAATTAAAGAAGGAGACCGTCCGGTTTCTTGACCTCAATCGGTGATATAACATGCACCACTTGAAGAAATAATGAATTTTATGACACCTCCTATACAAGCGTAGGAGTTGACATTATTTTTGATAACAGAAAATTGGCTGTGAGCGAAACCGAATGTGCCACTTTTTGAAAAATAAATAACATATTTACATGTAAATTGTGAATTTGTCCCAAAAGCTTGTTAAATATTTCAAAGGAATTTGCGAATTCGAAATGAACAACTTTGTCCTACTTAGAGTTGTTTCTTTTATTTTTTTCGAACTCGTTTATATAATTTCGTTGGCATTTAATAGATAAAATTGTTTAAGTACTGGAAATACCCTTACTGGGGTAAATTCTCTAACAGTGAGGCAAATCTTGGAGTAGAAAATGCAAGTAACTGTCACCATTAAGACGACCTGGTAATCTAAATGGACGAATCAAGTCGGTGTCAATAATATACACAATTTAATAGAATCTTAACATACTATCAGACGGTTGCAAAAACGATTGTTAAAAGCTCTCGTCAGCTAATGAACTCATAACTAACTAAGATTAAAACTGACAATGGCGCTTTTTCAAACAGTCTGTCGCTTAACAGCTGATCACGGGTGATTATCAATAAAATTTATATAAATGAAGAATATTTGGTTGTGTGTCTCAAAAATTAATTACAAATAAAGTAAAAAATAAAATTAAGCGAGGGCGGCTCGTAAACAAAATTTTGGGGGTTCACAGTAGCAGAATATAGATTCCGATACAGTTATGGTAAAAAACTGTCAGTGTTTTAGAAAGGTATATTATAAACTTTCTAAAACCCTGAAAGTTTTTTCATACATCTGTACTGATACCTATATTCTGTTACTGTGAACCACTACACGAGCCGCCACTGAAATTGAGGCTCAACGTTTACTGCTACGGTTAAAAAATTGGTTAGTCATCCTTACTCAATGTAATGCCAGGTGTTTCAATGGATCTTTTTGTGCTTAATGTAATAAATTACTCCTAAGAATTAATATACCTATACCGCAAACAGGTTTAATTTTTAATATTCATACCTATATTTCCTTTAAATATTAATTTTAACACTATCTTTTTTCGACGTGGCCTCATATTTTTTAACAGACAGAAGCAAGGACAGTCGGTTCAGAGAAAAAATGTTTTTGATACATGAGTATAATTTCTTAAAAAAAAATAATGGCATAAATAAAAAAAGGTTCCAATAAAGCACTAGAAAAAGAGAAAAATACTCAATTAACTGCCCTTTCAGTGCTTGATTAAAAATCTGTGATTTGTGTAACAATTAGTTTAAGGCAACAGTATTTAAATATATTTTGTCCCTTTTGTATAAACTAAAACTATTTTTCTTGTACTTACTTTAAATTTTCCGTTCCCCTTTGCCACTATGGAGAAGCTCATTTTGGCTAAATCTCGCCCTTTCTACTGTGTATTAATTTTTCATACAGAAATACATAATTAAAAATCTGGTGTGTCCAACACATGACTTTCCTATCTAGTTATTACAGGCTTTTTCCGTTTATTTTGTACAACCTATTGCAGCACCTCCATAAATGTTTAGAGGATAAAATAAATATATACATTTTCCACATACATCTACCTCGAAACATTTTTCTATAGATGTTCATTGAAAATGAAAATACTGAAAAATTTAAATTTAGCACTTTTCCTACAATTTTTCCATTACGGTCCATTTTAGAAAAATCATGTATAAAGAAAAATTATAGAGATCGATATCACAAACAACTTTTATTTCAAAAACTTTCATAAAAATCAGAATTTTGCACATTTTGTCAAATTTCTCGAATACGGACCATTTCAGGAAATTTTTACATAAAACAAAAATTATAGATAATAAATAGTATTAGAAGTAACTTTTATTTGAACAATTTTTTTCTTCAAACATTAATAACAGATATTGGGGTCTATTCTGTAACAGTTCCTTTATATTTAACGGCCTTTAAAAATATTGGCGGCCTATAAAAATATGTTCATATTCGTTAATTTACTTCTGTCATTATATAGACAGATTTCTTTAAGATAGTCCTCTAATGTATTTTAAAGATCCGTTTAAATAATGACAGAAGTAAAGAAGAAAATATTTTTAAAGGCCGTTAAATATAAAGGAATTGTTACAGAATAGACCCCATATTCCATAAAATATAAAAGTGGCCTCCCATAAAGTACCCCTCCAGATATTCAGACTATGTCCAAAATCTAATCATTTTATGTCAGGCCGAAATAAAACTTAAGTTTAAAATTTAATGTTTTTTTCTTTATCCGTTTTTGAGTTTTCTTCAAAATTCGAAATTTACACATTTTCTCACATATCTCGAATACGGTCAATTTTAGAGAAATTATGTATGAAATAAAATATTTTTTTTACATTTTGTCAAATTTCTCGAATACGAACCATTTTAGGAAAATTTTGTATAGAACAAAAATTATATATAATTATATTAATCAGAAAATTGATTTTGTAAATTAAATACATTTAATTTTTTTTAAGATTGTCTCGACGTCAACTTCCAACAGTTGAACTAGATGGCACAGTCCGCTATTCGACTCCAAGAGATCAAACGGAATTGGAGTGGCTATCGGGAATAAACAATACAGATACTCAGTCTGTATCATCTTCGGCATCTTCCTCAAACAATTCAGTAAATTACTGGAGACACAACTCCCGCCATGAAGAAGATGAGCCCATAATGGAAACAACATTGTCTTCAGTTAAGGTATGTAAATTTATTCGCTTAGTGCAAAGTCATGGTAGGGGAAGCAAAAGCGATACTAGTGCTAGCTGCGAATAATTCGTGCATTTTAGGACGATATTTTGTCATTTTGGCGTATCAAATATATAAGTATATATTTTACTTATTAAAAAAAAAATAATTAAAAGCAATACAATGAGCAACCGGAGTTGCTGTATTATAAATTGTAAAAGTACTAGCAAAAACAAAACAATTTATTTTATAAATATTCAGTTGCAAAATAAACGATGCTTTAAGTGCAGTAAGAAGGGAATATAATTAAAACCTTTATATTTGTAACAAGAGTATCTAATACCTATTGAAAATAGTAGACATCAGAAAACTGAAAGATTTTATATACTTAAATTATTATTATTTTACGATGTTCTTCAAAAGTACATTTTCAAAATCGAAATATGTCTGCCTTTATTTCTGATTATTTTCTGTATCTGGAATGCAATTATGTGACTGACTGATTGAAAAATAGTTATTTAATAATTAATTATATTGTTTTCTTTTGAACTAAAAATGAAAAAAACAAGTATAAATTACATTCTAAAATATTACAATATTTTTGGGATTAAATTTGACATTAACCTTCAACTTTTTTAGGCAACTTTTCATACATTTTTTCGTAAATACTGTTGCCTAACTACCTGTTCTGTGTACATGTTTTAATATTTTTTTTTTATTAAATATACTTATTTTTCTTTAGCTGGAGTAATAAAAATATATATTAATAATAAAAGGGGGGTGGGTTGGCTCAGTGGTTAGAGTCATGACTTTGAGATCGGAAGGTCTCAGGATCGAATCCCACCGTTGGCCGGAATTTTTTCATTTAATTTAATTATTTAAAATTAATTCTGATGCCTTGGTAGGATTCCCCACTCGACCATTCACTGTTGGGTTCTAATTAACAGTGCTGTTCCTAAAGTGGCGCTGGGAAACAGTAACAAAGCCTACACAGAACACGAGGCTAATGGCCGTAGTAGTCGACGCCGATGACACCAATTAAAAAAAAAAAAAAAAATAATAATAAATGAATCTTATCACTTGTTTTATAAATCATTATACTTTTATTAATAGCAAAAATACATTTTTTAATTAGGAATTCTATTAAAACTAATGCTGTAAATACATGAAAAATCCCTCTTAAATAATAAAAGTGGGATTGAAATGGATACAGTTAGTAGATGGGGACATCGTTTTTGGATACCGATCAAAAGTCACTTGTTTTAAATTGGGTGACCTTGAGCTTCGAATCGTATTGTGATATTAATTTTAAAATGATTTATTGCATATTTCATTGGCTGAGACAATACAGGTCCAGTTTATAGAACGCATATTTGCTATTGTACTTTTATTTGACAAATTTCAAATATTTTGTTTTTAGATTTTATTATGTTTTGAAGGTTTCAATAGTCATAAAGGACCATAGATAAATTAATATATTATAAGATAAACTATTTAAATGCACGGCACTGGTAACAAGTTGTTATTTCCTCAGCATACTATTTGGAGCCACTATCGCATAATAAACAATTGGCTGATTGGCTGAGTGGCTGATTGGCTTGAGAGTTAAAGGCAGCAGGAAATAATAAACAAGAAGATTGTAAAGCATACCCGTGGTTCATTCAAATGTCCTATATTTATTTACATTTTTATGCATTCATTGCTCTAAAAAACTAATATTTAAATTAAAATATTGTATTTAACATAAATATTAGGTTGTTAAAGTAATAAAACACCAAAAAAATATAAATCAAGAAATATTTATATTAAAATATTTGAAACACATGTATAGTTTAATCATTTAATGCAAGTAAGGTGCATTTAAACGTTTATTGAACAATTTCTCTTACCTGTATATGCATTATTAATTTGTCTAAAATTCGTATATTTTTGGAAAAACTAACACCCGTATGCATAGTCGATCGCCAGCGGTTCGCCGGCGTATCATCAGCGATCCGCTGGTGAAAGCCCGAACAGGTAGCGACTTGCTGGAGATTGTCACCGGCATCTCCCGCATGTTGTTATTTATGATTAATTTCTTAAAACTCAAAAAACAATCTGATGTGTCCAACACATGACTTTCCTATCTAGTTATTACAGGCTTTTTCCAGTTATTTTGTACAACCTATTGCAGCACCTCCATAAATGTTTAGAGGATTAAATAAATATAAACATTTTCCACATACATCTACCTCGAAACATTTTTCTATATATATTCATTGAAAAGAAAATACTAAAAAATTTAAATTTAGCACTTTTCCTACAATTTTTCTATTACTGTTTATTTTAGAAAAATCATGTATAAACAAAAATTATAGAGATCGATATCGCAAACAACTTTTATTTCAACAATTTTCATAAAAATCAGAATTTTGCACATTTTGTCAAATTTCTCGAATACGGACCATTTCACGAAATTTTGACATAAAACAAAAATTATAGATAATAATGTAAGAAATAACTTTTATTTAAACAATTTTTTTCTCCAAACATAAATAACAGATGTATTCTATAAAATATAAAAACGGCCCCCCATAAAGTACCCTCCCAGATGTTCCGACTTTGTCCAAAATCTAATCATTTTACGTCAGGCCGAAATAAAACTTAAGTTTAAAATTTAATGTTTTTTTCTTTATCATTTTTTGGGTTTTCTTCAAATTTCAAAATTTACACACTTTCTCAAATATCTCGAATACGGTCCATTTTAGAAAAATTATGTATGGTATAAAAATTATAGAGAATTATATTACAAACAACTTTTGTTCAATTAATTTTTATAAAAAAATATTTTTTTACATTTTGTCAAATTTCTCGAATACGGACCATTTTAGGAAAATTTTGTAAAGAACAAAAATTATAGATAATAATATAAGAAGTAACTTTTAATTTAAGAATTTTCTTCCCCAAACGTAAATAACAGATATATTCCATAAAATATAAAAATGATTACCCATAAAGTACCCCCCCCAGATGTTCCAACACTGCCCAAAATCTAATCAGCATATTGGACGCTGGGACAAAGCTTTAGTTTAAAATTTGACGTTTTTCTGTGTATCGGTTTATGACACATACTTTAATTACTATACGGGGCAAGAGAGAGGTCCGACACGCCCAACATAGGGCGCGGCCATTTTGAACCCTATGACACAGTTTATAGCTAAAGAATCAGATCGCTCACTCTGCGTCGGCACTTTTTATCTCAATGTTCCAGTTTATACACTGCGCTACTCAGATAATACAATATATGACAACCGCCTATAATAAAACAGCAGTCTTCTGCGTATCCTAAATTTGTATCACTGGAGTGGATGTTATTTTGGAACTTTCAACTGGTCCGAGTGAGCTAACTGATTTTTAGCAATAAACTGTGACTCCAAAAATAATATTCCTTAGAGCATATAAGACTAGAGATATCATTCAATGTATTTTGTTATGTATATGCGGGGTCATCACTTTTGGCGTGAGGGGAGAAGGGTAGGTGCGCCATTCTCAATGGCGTACGGTTTAAAAGGGTTGCTATTTGTTTACCATTTATGCACTGTAATTTCACAATAACTAATAATTTAGATAATTTTTGAAACTGTATGCTTTCTAATGAATTCGTGATCACACATATTTTCGTTTAGTTCAAGTAGATCATTTAGAAATTGAAATATTTTTTATATAGAGTAAATAAAAGAAAAATGAAAACAACAATAATTTATTTCTAGTAGTAATAATATTAAATATACATGTTTTATAATAAAATTAATAATCAATGTAATCAAAACATAGTTATTGGTTGTGCCTAGATATAATATGTTTGTAGAAGTAAGCTATTTATAAAACAAAACAAAAAATAAAATAAACATTAATGCTACCGGAATTCCCAAGAAATTTATTTATTCTTTATTTGTTTAGGTCACCACTTCTATAGAATGGGATGAATACAAAAAAATACAGTTTAATCGTGAGATATATCATACACATTTTCAGGCAAAAAATGTTCAGTTTAATTTTACTGTCTATATTAGAGCTTTTAAAAATTATTACAAAAAAACTTACATACTACTAGTATATACACAATAGATACTATATACACATACAAGAGATAATATAAAATATAGTAGGTACCTAACTATTCGTAATAGACATATTTATTAACTTTACAAGCAGAACACAATAGCTTATTTTGCTTCAACTGACTGATTTTGTTGAAACTTGCTGCCAATATCAACATATCCAATATATTTTTGACCAGTCCATTCCACCCTTTGCATAATTGCCATTTTATCCATCAAAAGATTTAAAAAACTTTTTTTATAACCTTTTTGACCCTTTGCCTTTAAATTTCAATGCTCTTCAGTGAATCCAGGAGAACCATCAACAGCCTAATGCCACTTTAATAAAGTACTGGGATGTGGGAGATAATTGTTAAATTTTTCCCTCACATATGTATAAGCCTTATGTAGAAGCTTAAAGTTAGTACTAACGCTCTTAATTCAGGGGAGTATTTTGTTCTGGAATGATCTTTAATTGCTTTCTTGACCAATTCCTTAGATCCACTTGCAAGAGAGAAGCCTAAAAAATAAACTAATTTGATCCAAAATGACATATATAAATAAAATGATTCCTCATCATTAAAAACATTTATGAATATTACTGGAATTAATCTTACATCCACAAGTATATCTGTACTTTTTATAAAAGAGTTATTTTTTATATATATCATACTATTTAAAGATTCCAATCTACTTTGTAAAAAATATTTCCCATAAGTTTTTCAATTATATTTTTTTTTTTGGCATAGAGTCTTCTTTTGGGCAAGAGCTAATTTTCTATAAAAAAATAACTGTTTAATTTTTTTCTTAAGCATCTCTTTCCTGAAATCATAATAATGCTTGATTATATGAGAAAATATCTTATTTGACTTCAACAAACCTTCGTTTTTCTTTTTTAAGTTCTCTTTCCCTTTTAGAAGGAGTTAATGTATAGATGAATGGTAGCTTATAGATATTGTGGTTTTAGTTTATCAAATTTTAAACAATTTTTTGTCTTTTAAAGAAAGT